CCCCACCAAATTCTTTTAAAAATTGTCATTTATCTGTGACACATGATTATTACCCATCTGTTTCTTTATGCCCACTCTTCCCTCCTTTCGCAGTTTGTCTTCTAAGATTTAACGGACTCAAATGAGCCTTATAAATAACAGAAATCAAATCTCAGTTTTCCAAATGGACATTTTGTGTTTTATGAGTATCCCCAAAGGAGGGGAGCAAGTGAATGGAGAGGGTGGACTCCCCTCCTTTCACCTCTAGTGTGTGGCTCCAGCTGGGATACATGAGATACTTAACTTGGGCAGTGAGGGGTGGGCTCATTGCGTGGATTTGAAAATCATGTTTCATTTTAAGGGAAAAATAGTTGGTCAATATTTGGAGTGAAAGTGCCTTAAATGAATAAGACTGGAGAAGTAACTGAAGTTTTGGACTTGCAAGTCATTCCACCCAGTAACGTATGAATAGCATACATTAGAGATTTTAAAAAGGGGGTTAGATCATTTAATATTTTCAGTTTATAATGTTACACCTTTATTCTGCAATGTGATCCAGATATTTCTCAATGCCTGTGGACCAGGATCTTGCCCAGACCCCCACCCCCAATAGGGCACAATAAAAGCAGACTTTTCAGTATTAGTATGAAGTGAATACATTTTGGAGAACCACTAACGATAAATCATTCTTTAATCCAAACTCCATAACATTTTTGTAGCAAGTCCTATGTTCTTTCTCATCTACCAGAATTCTTTAGCCCTGTTAGAAATGCGATTGTCACATACACAATACACAACACTGCCTGAAATGACACACCACATGTAGTTTCTAGTCTTGGGCTGAATATGCTTTAAATATTAGTATAGTGCTGGAATTAGCAAATCTCAGCTATTCTTAAGAGTTTACAGGTGATCAGATGTGTTCGTTGGCAGAGATTTTAATGTCGATTTTTAAATATATATAAAAATGCTTTGACAAATATACTTATTACCCACATTGTTCCACAAGAGGTTTAAGACAGTTTATAGGAATTCATAAAATATAGCAAGGCAGCCTAACTAAGAAGTAGATGGAAATGAAAACCAGGAAACTAAGTGTAGAGACATAAAATGGCATTAAGAATGGGACTAATGCAAAAATACAAGCATAAGACCCTCTATAATTTTCCTGAGGGGAAAACAAATGCAGCTCTCAACTTTCTAGTAGCTCATGCAAAAATGGAAATTGGCCAGCCCATGGCTCATATGTTTTATTTGTTTGTTGACTCATTCACTCACTTGTTCGCTCAACAAACATTCAGTGAGGACCTACTACTACATGCCACATTCTGTGAGACACAGACATGGTCTCTGCGCTGACGGCACTTACAGATGAATGCAAGAAACAGACATTCATGTAGAAATCTCTCTGATGAATGTATATTTACAAATTGTGATAAAAGCTTTGCAGGAAAAGCATGAAACACAACATAACATGTCAGAACATAAAAACAAAATAAAAACTTTTTAAGAGAAGCATAACAATTCTTGATTCTAAGAGCCGAAAGGAACTTTTTTCAAATATGAAACAGTGTTTGGAATGGCATCTTCAATCGTGTCCTCATCAGAAGCAGGATGGGTTGCCTTCAGATTTTTTTTTTTTTAACTAGCATCTCTCCATGTAAGCTCATGTCACACTACACATCTCTCCGACCCCTGGGATTCTGAGGATATATGTATTTTGAGGGATCTGTGTCTTCTCTAAAATTAGTGATTTCTTTTCAGGGACATAACCTTAAATAATGAATAATAAAAATGTGTTCTGGAAAATCTGACGGCCACCCCAATACCAATGCTGAGGCCTCTGTTTGCTCTGTATTTTCCCATGTGAGCCAGGGGCAGGCCTGGTGTCTTGGATCACAGCACAAGTGAGGAGAGGGGACTTGAAACAGGGGCATGTGGAGAGAGAGGTGAGGAGGCACAGGGTGCAGGCTTGCCAAACTCAAAAGAACAGCTCCTGGGGACCACTGCTGGACTGGCAAGGAATGCAGCTCTCATGCCAGTTCTACCCAAATATGGACCAAGCCTCAGCAATTTATTAGCAGCAGGTGTTGTAGTAAAAACGCAATGAAAAAGTTACCGTTGCTGGTTTCGGCAATAATTGGATTAGATTTCCATTTAATGAAGGGTAGTAACCCTCCAATAACTGCCTTATGTCCACAGCAATGACACAGGTAATTTGGTGTAATGATTAAGTGGAACTGGACTGTCTGACTTCAAATCCATTTTTCTACTTGCCAGCTAAGAGACTTCAGGCAAGTTAGTTAACCTCTCTGTTCTTCAGTTTTCTCTTATGTTAATATGTGGATAAATACGTGGTATTGATTTCATAGTGATATTGTGAGGATTAGAGGTATTACATGTGAAAGACTCGCAGCATATAGTCGTTCAATAAATGTTAGCGATTATTACTAAGTTTATTAGTGTGAAGTGACACCTCATTTATGTAGGCACTTCAGGATGGTTTGAACTCCAGTAGAATCTTTAATTCTGATATCTGATTATCTTCAAGTAGCAAACACATTTTTGAGTTTACTCATATTGTTTTGCACAGCATGCTTTATACATTGTCTGCATTTGTATTTTTAAAGTCAAAATTCAGAAAACGATAATGTGTAGTAACTAGACCCGAGGCTATATCTTTCTATTGTTAAACCTTAAATGGTGTTTTAGTTTCAGCAAAACAATATTGTCTGTTGCAGTGAAATAATTTTACTAATTTGATAAAGTTTGATAGTTGTATTCACTTGCACATTTGTTTTGGCATTTAGTTATGTAAGAGCTATAAAGTATAAGTGTTTAGAACTGGTCTTTATGAGTGTACATATTTAAGTAACATTTTAATAAAAGTGATTTAGGTCAGCCCCGGGTCCATGAGAAATTTTTTTCTTTCAAAAAGGATTTCTATGTAGCTTACACATTTTGAGCTATGTACAAGGACACACCCAAAATTCTTGGAAGAGAATTTTGTATCTCTAGAAGAGAAAGTGCAGCCCCAATATTTGACTGCCATAGTTTTAGCCTGCAAGAATTTTTTAAGGCAGTAACACCAAAACTGCCTCTGTATTCAACAACATCAAAATCCCACAGATTCAAGGAGCACCTATGAAATGGCAAGCTGCCAGAAAAGACTCTCCCTAACCTATCTTCCAAGATAAACTACGCATGGAAGATACGTCAATGTTATGGAATGAAGAGAAAAAAAGAAAAGCCTAGTGTTCAATTGTGTGGATTAAAACAAATTTATTGATTATATTGTTCAAATCTATTTAAAAAATGTTTTGTACCTAAGTGATCTCTCAAAGATTACAATAAATGTTACTTTCCTACCATAATCGTGTTTTTTGGTAGCTTTCCTTTTGATACATACATATCATAAATGTTTCACAGAAATACACACACACACACACACATGCACAGAGTCATATTTGATGCCCAGGACTTAGGAGTTTCTTGGGATGAGGGACTTTCAGTGCTAAAGCCAGGACAGTGCCAGGCAAAGGAAGACGGAGACAGATCCCTCTCAGTTTCAGAGAATAGGTAGAGAACGATGGGCCCAGATTCTTTAAGGACTTTCTAGAAGATATGGTACAGATGATGCCAACCAACATCAGCCAGCTCATGATTCAACAAGGGTCTCTCCTGGGAAGAAGCAGGGACGTTCTCCCAGCCGAGTCCTAGAATATTCCTCAGGCTCACTGCACCAGGCCTGGTGGGTTGTGGCGCAGTTGGGTGAGGGTAGGGCTGTAAATCAAAGGGCGTTAGGAACTCTCATCAGCACCTTCAACCTGGGGTGTCTGGACCCCCAATCCTGACATATGCTGAGGGAGTCCCCAGTAAAGTGAGGCTTTAACATAGCCAGCTTCAACTCAGGTCAGTTCTGAATACCCTAACAGTTATAGCTCTAAATAACGATATACATGAGTACATAAATGAATGCCACTTGGCCCAGCAGTAAATACTCCTAATATATTTGATCTGACACAGGACCTCACCCACAAACAACCCAGGCAGGACCTGGATGCCAAGGAGCTTAGGACGTAGTTGCCAGAAAACAAATTTCAGTGCTCCG